GTTATGGGCGGGAAAATGAGATACTTTAAGCTGTGTATTATAATCTCGATAGCTACCCGAAGGCTCGCCGGGGATGGCGAGAGGTGGGGTGTGGGCTGGTTGTCGAGCGGCTGCCTACGAGCCGAGCGCCTCTTTTACCAAGCATGATGTCTTTTTTGAACGTGTTTTCTTGATTTCACGTGTACCTGCCGTATGAATGCATGAGGCCTGGATGGTTTTGAAGGGAGCTTGGGTCTTTTTTTTATTTTACTAACGCTTGACGAACAGAAAGGAAGTCGGTCGATGCCTGGTCGCAGGTGGGGCCAGAGGCGGACCAAATTCGGAGATTTCGAGGTGGCTTGTCAAGATCGAGCGAAGACTAGCCAGCTTTTGGGCTAAGCAAGACTTCGTCGGGAGAAGGGCTTGTTGAGGGACCAACGGGCTTGACTGGGTCTGGGTATAGGGCTTCGATGTGACGGGTGGCTGCTGCCTCCTCGGCGTGGTGCTCTTCGTCTCCCCGAACCAACCGACTTCGATACTTGATGCAGGGGCTGGCAGAATGTTTGGCGTAGCACCCCCGGATTCACATGCAAATTGGAGAACTCCCAAGTTGAGGAGGGAGCGAGTGGGGTCGGGCAAGGTCGAAGTGGAGAGCTTGTCGAAGCTAATAAGAAAATGCCTGATGGGTGGGGCCGGCCTGAGAGCAACAACGAGCACCAATCCACTCCGAGCAACGATTTAAGAAGAAGGTAAGGAGGAGGGAGCGTGAATGGGTTTAACAACTTTTGATGGGCGATCGGAAAAGAATAAGGAAGGAAGGGGAGGAATGGTTGGCAGTAGGCGAGGGGGGCAAAGAGACTGATCGCAGGAAAATCCGGAAGGAACAAGCGGTGGGGGAAAGAAGTGATCAACCAACAAGTCTGACTGCATGACGATCTGGGGCCAAACGTGGCTCTGATTAACGTGAGGAGAAGGAGGGAACAAGAAAAAGCAGGGGAGAAGGGGGGGGTGCGCGCCCGCTGGTTCTTGATAACTGAATACAGGACGGGCGCGCGCCACCATGACCTTCTTGGTAACTGCTCGAGAGTCAGTTGGCGGAGGAACAAAGTCGCAAGGGAGGCACGAGAAGGCGGGAAAAACGGACAATGGTCACTCTGCCCTGCGCTCCGAAAAGACGAGCATGCGTGCGCGCCTCGTTTTAGCCACCTATGGGAAGTGGCATTTCTGAATGAGTTGGACGAGCTAGCTGAGAGCGGGAGAAGAAGCACCTGGGATTTTCGCGAGATGCGGAAGAAGAAAGGAGGGGCTTACTACGTTCGATCCGGAGAGTGGGATCCTATTGGAGGGAAGGGAGTGAAGGTGGATCGGAACTAGAGAAAGATCAAGCGGGAACAAAGGAAGACGAAGGGGAGTAAAGGCGGGAAGATGGAAGGCAGTCAAAAATTTCGACTCCGGCGGCAGGAGGGAGGAAAAATTTGGGGAATAGACTAGGGAGTGAGTAGCGAAAGAAAGGAGGAAGAGAGTATAAAAGAGGGGGGGAGGGGAAGAAAAGGGGACTTTTTTTTGGGGATTGCTCGAGGCGCAGGGGAATCGCGCGCGGACTGTCTCGCTAACTGAGAACGGGCGTACGAGCGGGTCGTCAACGCGAAAGGGAGAGAAAGAGAGAGCTCGGAGGTCGGCTCGCGTCAAGCGCTTTCGGAAGGGAAAAAGAACGCGGGGAGGAGTGCTCGAGGCGCACGGGAATCGCGCACAGACTGTCTCGCTAACTGAGAACGGGCGTACGAGCGGGAAGTGCACGCGAAAGGGAGAGAACAAGAGAGCTCAGAGGTCGGTTCGCATCAAGCGCTTCCCGAAGGGAAGAAGAACGCGGGGAGGGGGAAGGCCATAACCGCCCGAGGAGAACGCAGCGCGTGAAGCAAGCCATACGGCGCGCAGATCTTGGGGACGCGCGTCAAGCGCACGGTAAATCCTGAGCGACCAGGGAGTTCCTGTGACGAGGCGGACGGAGGGTGAAGGGCTCGAGAAAGAAGTCGAGCGCGAAGGAGCGAGAGCGCTCGAGAGTGTTCGGGCGCGTACTAATGCTCGAGCTCTACACGCACCTGGCAGCGCATGAGGAAGCTCGGAGACGAGTCAGCGTTGTGGACAGAGGAACCGAGGGGAGAGAGAGTGAGAGAGAGGGAGGGAAGGCAGAAGGACGGAACCAGCGAAGGGCCGCGCGGCCTTTTGGGGCGCTCGGCAGAGCCGGTATCGAAGCCTTCATCGATGACTAGAAGGGGGGATCAAGGAGAGAGAAGGGGGGGCCGTTCGCGTAGGGAGCTCAAGGGAGTCAGCCCCGGGGGCGGACGTGAGGAAAAGTGGAAGAGCTCCGGCGAAGGGGACAGGCGCTCAAACGAGCGAAGGGTGGAGGTGCAGGCAGAAGCACGACGACTCGGGCTAAGCGTCAGCAACGCGCGGTCGAAAGCCTCGACAGCCGCGCTACAAACCGCGGACAACACTGATTGGTCTAAGGATTAGGTCGAATACGTGTCTTCGTGACTGAGTCTGTCTCCAGAGTCTTGCTGCTTTGCTCCCCGGACAGCCCTCGGCCATCAGGGCTTTGATGTGATCTCGCTGTCGGGGGTTGTCCCATTGCTGCCGATTCTTCGCGCTCAGAGAGAGAAAGAGAGAGGCGAAAGAGTGATTTTCTTCTTGAGATCGCGTTTATTGTTTACCGAAAGTCGGGCTGGTGGATTTATATGTGGTTACGTCTCTCTGAAGCACATAAGCTGTGCAGGAAATTCTTAGCCCACAACTTGGGTGGGGTGGACGCTTGGTTCTCTCCCTTTGTTACTGTCCTTCCTCTTGGTTCTGCAGTGTCGAGCCCGGCTCGTCCGCTCTAAGGCCGCGAACGCAGATTCCTCACTTTTTTTCCTCTCGCGCAGCCGTTAAAAACTTTCCTTCCCGAGTCTGGTTATTCGCATGTGCAGCTGGTTACATACTGATGGCGTGAGCTAGGCGTTCAAAACTGTCCTTTCTGACTCTTGTGATTTGTGTGTGCAGCCGGTTACATACTGATGCCGTGAGCTCGGCGTTCAAAACCTTTCTTTCCGACCCTTGCGATGCGTGCGTGCAGATGGTTACGTACTAGTGTCGAAACGGTGTTTCCCCTGGTCCCTTTCCAACTTTGTGTTTCTTCTGTGTCGTTGGTTGCATACTGATGGCTTGAACTGAGCGTTCAAAAGGCCCTTTCCTTTCGGGTCCTTTTCCGATTCTCGCGCTCCCCATGCGTTACCAGGTTATATGCTGGCGGCGCAAACAGGGTTCGTCCGGCTATGGGCCACTGTTTCTGCCTCCTAGTCAGTAAAGGCACGCTGGTCGCAAAGGGTTCTTGGGAGGTGGTCAGCGCCTAAGTCTGGACGCTAGGAAAAAGGCGAAAGTGAGGTCACCCTCGTCTAAAGGCTTGTCTAGAATAGGCAGGAGAGGTAGGTTGTTGCTGAGGGGGTATAAAGGGGACCTACTAGGTGACAACGGTCACACATACGCTCAAGCCAAGCAACACTCAGACAGACATGCAGTCCAGCAAGCGTGCACACACAGACTTAGTAGCAGGCGGGAAATTCAGCAAGGCATTCAGTCTATGGGCAAAACTCAGAAATCAGCTGTGTGTTTCAGTCCGTGTTTGGACGGGTCATCACAAATATACATATACAGAGAGAGAGAGAGAGAGAGAGAGAGAGAGAGAGAGAGAGAGAGAGAGAGAGAGAGAGAGAGAGAGCAGCGAAAGCTGCTCAGCGCTGGCAGAGGGAAGGCAGCCATAGCTGCGCCAGTGCTAGTTGTTAGTAGTAGACATCAGAGGGGTTAGTAGAGTTAAGCAGTGGGTGTATTCGTAGTCGGTCCTTGAGTAGTAGAAGGTGTGTGTGTGTGTACAAGTAGGGAGAGGAAACACAGGGAGGCAGTAGACATAGAGAAGACTGAGAGAGGAAGAGAGAAGAGCATTGAGAGGGATGCTTACCTGAGTGAAGACACTGGTTACTTGGGTCAGCACTGTTGAGCGTTTGTGACTGGAACTCTCAATTTCTTATATGATAATTTGTTGGGATTCGAAAGCTACGCTACCTGGTCTTCATTTCTCTGGCCTCCAGTGTGAAATCCGTGTGACCTCATTCATGCATGGTGTGTGATTGTGTGCGCTCATTGGTGGTGAACTGAGAGGTTCATTGCACATTATGGTGAATAATGCAATAGCTTCAGTCAAAGCATAACCTAGAACGCTTATGGGTCAGAGGTGCCCTTTGAACTACGTGTACATGACAGTTTCTTATTGTACAGCTCGCCATCATTATTCCGAGGGGAAGGCTCTGTCCAGTGGTTTGGTCTCGGAGACCTGTCCATTTGGTGTACGCCTTGGGCACTGGGCCTGAAATAAATAAAATCACGTTCCTTAAACCACCAGTACCTCTTATCCTGTTTTTGCCAAACCTGCATTTCACTGCGCAGTGAGTTTTGCTTAGCCTGGGTCCCATTGTATTTCTTTTCTAGTGTCCGCCATCGCCAGGTAGGTACCTCACCACTCTCCTCCTTGGTCCCCTTCTCCCTCCTCCTCCTACCGGTAGAGCTCCACCATAGCCAAGGTGGAAGCTCCCGACTTCTTCCTCCCAGCAGCGCTGTAGTACCTACCGCCAAGCAACTGCTTACTCACCTGACGAGTGAATGAATGGAGTATCTTGCGTGCCATGCTATATCTTTCTACAGTGCTTTGTTTATTTCATTATGAACGACTGTAGTCTGTAGGTTCTTTCTGGGGCTACATTTCGTTTTTCAATTCGGTAGAGGCAGAGATTATGTCTTTGTGGAACTCTTGTTGGTTGGGACCCGGTTCTCACTCCACTAGGACCATTTGGGACTCAGTGGGACCAGGCCCAAACAAGAAGGGCCCCTCAAGCCAAATTTGTTGACGTCAGTTACCTTGCTCTATCTGAGTGGGACTCGGAATTCATGCATTCGGACCAGGACACTCGCTGCTGAGGGGATCTCAGCTGAGACGTTTTATCAGACTTTACCTCACGATCCGCGGCCTGACTCGCACCTTGGACACCACTCAATTCTCTCTTGCATTTATGTAGTACACTTTGAATTTGATTTGTTGTGTCTTCACGGAGCTGAGTCCTGCTAGGCTTGAGAGGACCTCATACGTAGTCGGACCCGACTGTGTGGCGGAATCAGATCTCTCTGATCTTTATTTTTTGTTTTGACTGCTCTCCAGTCCAAATGAATTGCCGCGCCGGTTAGGAGTTCTACCTTCTCTTCTTAGTGATTTCAAGTTGTTTCTTCCATTGGGTTCGTTAAATGCCTACGTCTACACGATCACAATCGAGAGAGAGAGAGAGAAGAGAGAAGCTTCTGAGTGTCGCTCTTGAGGGGGTGAGGAGAGGGAAGAGGAGTGTTCGTCCCAGAAGTGTGAGGAAGTTTGAACCTCTCTTGAGAGACTTATTGACTCCCTCGTCCTCCATCATGGCATCTGCAGCAGAATGAAGGATACAAATGGACGCTGCCCCTGAGGCAGAAAAAGCGCAGTACTTGTTCTTCTATGAAAAAGCATTGAAGAGGGAAGAGGAAGAGAAAGAGAAGGCTCATGAAGCCGTTTTCAATACCGTGCCCGCCTTAACTAATGATGAGGTGGAAGAGAAGACTGCCCCACTCGTCAGGGCTTTAGTAGAGGTCCGGGCTGTTGAAGACCATACGGGCCAACTCGCCAAGGCGTTTGATGTCAAGAAGTTGCGTGAGGATATGGCCCTGATGGCGCAGCAGCACCGTGACCAGCTGCAACAGTTTGCTAGCTTGCAGCCGGCCCAAAGTGTCCTTCTGCCTGCTTACCCTGCTTCTAATGCCGCGTGTCAGTCCGTTCTTGCCCCTCTAACTGTATCTTCTTCTTCTTCTTCTTCTTCTTTGAGTGTGGCCAACAGCCTATCCGGATCTTTAGCAGGTCCAGACCCCTCTGTTGCTGCTGCTGTTGCTGCAGCGGCAAGTGGCAGTGCAGGGCATTCTGGAACTGTTGCAGCCCCGAATTCGGACCCAGCAGTCGCTGGTCCTAGTTGCAACTTTCCCTATGTGGACAAGAAGGCGGCACATATTCCGTCTGAGTATAATGGAAAAGACGACATCGAATCTTGGATCAGCTCCATGCGATCTTACTTTGATGTGTTGGGGACACCCCCGGTGATTCAGTCGTCGGTCCTAGGGACCAATGTGGAACCCGCCGTAAGGGGCTTCTTAGAAGTCCAAGCTATACAGTCAGGCTATAAAAGAATAGACCTGAACAAATGGTTGAAGGTTACGCCTATAGCCGCACTCAAGGAACTCTTGATCAAACAATATGCTGATCCACATGCTGCAGCCAAAGCTAGACTTAAGCTTGACAAGCTCAAGCACAGCAAGTGGACCGGCACCATGCATAGTCTGCAGCAGCATGTTAGTAAACTCTTTGCTACTCCGGATCAGGAGATGACTGCGCAGTCTTACTTGGATGTGATAAAAGGTGTGGTCCCCTCTAATGTGACACATCGCCTGGGGCTCGAACTCATAACGTATACAGATTGGCTTACCCTCATGCGGGGTTTAGTCAAGCTGGAGGCACAACACCTACCAGGTGGATTGGGTGGCAAAAAGACCACCGGCCACAAACGGTTTCCAGGCAGCAACCGTTTTGCAGCGCACGATCTACTTGAGGTTGACGAGGAGACCTTCGCAAATGACCCTTCTCTTGATGACGATCAAGAGCAAAACTACGAGGCATCTTGCTCTTCGTCAACCCATGAGTCTGAGTATGTAAATGACGATGGATCTATGAATGCCTTCAAGGACCACAGTGAAGAACAATACTAACATCATTCTCCTTCCCAAGGGAGCGAAGATTCCACCCAAACCGGAAGATCCTGCCACAAAACCATGCGTAGATCTCCGAATAAGTGAAAGTGAGTGGAAACACAGGGTAAAGAAAGGGGTTTGTCTGCATTGCACCAAACCGAGACATTCAGTCCAACATTGCTGCAGATTGCAACAGGGAAAACAGCAACGGGGGTAGAGACATCATCAACACACTCTACAGAGAGAGAGGCTGAACATGTAAGTGCAGATCCTTCACCGGATTCTGATCGTACTCAACAAACCTCTCTTGAAACCCCATCTGATGCTGATTCCAAGGCTGAGAAACTGCACATCCTATACATGGAGTCTTGGGTGGAGTCAGAAGAAATTGACTTTCATTCTCTCTTGTCGCACTGGGCTCACATGAAGCAAGAACGCGCTCAAGGGAAAACGAAGTTGATCTTCTTCAAACTTCGTATTAACGACCGTTACATCCGTGCGTTGGCTGATTGTGGCGCAACCGCCAACTACTTCTCACCGCACGACATTCGTAAGGCACGCTTGGGAATGAAGCAAGTGACCTTGCTTTGTCGGACCCAAGTGGGCCACCAAGAGGTTGTCACATCTACGCATGCAGTCAAAGGTGTGCGCACTACCTTTGACGCAGACCGCACAATCACGCATGAGTTGAACTTCTATGTCCTTGATAAGTGCCCCTTCGACGCGGTTATTGGCTTGGGCTGGTTGCAGGCCAAATGTGAAAAAACCACATGGAAGGATTCACAATTCATGGTCAAAGATGCCATGGGAATCGAGCGTCATGTCCTCTTGGATGAGCCGCACGAGTCCCAAGTAACTTTTTACAATGCAATGCAATTTTGCAAAAAGTGGCGCAGGCGCAAAGTTGATGAGCAAATGTATATAGCCTTTGTTAGGCCTGCTCATGTGCCTTCTATTTTTCCTATACATAATGATTCTACTTTGCATGTCGTTTCTACTTCTAATGCAAGTACTTCTACCTCAACTAAGTCTACTTCTTGTCCAAACGACTTTGCTTCAAATTCTGTTGTTTTGGCTGCACCTATGGAATCCGGTATGCTTGCACCTGAAAGTGATGACCCACCTCCGAAAGTCCCATTAGAAATCCGCAACCTTCTCAACTGATTTCCTGAAGTCTTGGCCGAACTGCATGGAGTCCCCGTGCGTTCGGTCGGACACAAGACCGAGTTGATAAAAGGTAGCACTCCTCCAAAAGGCTATGTCTATTGAATGGGCGCAGGCGAATTGAAAGAGTTGCGAAGACAGATCGATGCACTGGTTCTGTTTGTCCCGAAGAAAGGAGGCAAACTACGGATGTGTATCGATTACCGCAAACTGAATAGGATAACAAGAAAGAATGCATATCCTTTGCCGCATATTGATGATCTGCTTGATGTTGCAGGTGGATGCAAGGTCTTCAGCAAGATCGATCTCAAGTCTGGCTACCACCAGATTGAAGTTGACCCTGCAGACCAACATAAAACTGCATTCAAAACTCGCGATGGGCTGTACGAGTTTACCGTCATGCCTTTCGGCCTCACAAATGCACCAGCCACCTTTCAAAGTCTCATGGATAAGGTGTTTCACAATCAGATCAATTGATTTGTTGTTGTTTATTTCGATGACATACTAATCTTCAGCGAGTCGATGGAGGAGCACATGTAACACCTTGAGGAAATGTTGCAGATCCTCAAGGATGCGTAGCTTCATCTCAACTTGGAGAAATCTGAGTTTGGGAGGGACAGCGTCGTCTACCTTGGACATCGGTTGTCTGCTGCAGGCCTAGAGCCCGAGGCAACCAAAGTTGAGGTCATTCGTAAATGGCCTCAACTGGCAAATGTCAGCGAGTTGCGTTCTTTTCTTGGTCTTGCGTCATACTACACCGCAAGTTAGTACCCAAATTCTCTATCATTGCTCGACCGCTGTCCAGGTTGACCAGCAAGAATGTGTCCTACACATGGGATGGGGAATGCACAACAGCCTTCCAAGCATTAAAGGAGGCTTTGGCGAGTCATCCGGTGCTCCGCATTGCAGATCCCAAACTTACATTCGTAGTGACTACGGATGCAAGCTTGTATGGGATTGGCGCAGTGCTGCAAAAAGATGATGGTGACGACTTACGTCCACTCGAATTATACAACAAACTTATGCCCAGTCACAAGGTAGCTGCCTCCACTTACATGCGAGGACTCTATGCCTTGAGAGAGGCACTGGATCATTGGAAGCACTACCTCTTGGGTCGCCATTTCAAAGTGTTCTCAAACCACGAGACTTTGAAGTGGATTCAGGCACATAATAATCCATGAACTACATTGGCCCGCTGGCCGCATGAGATTACTGTGTATGATTTCGAACTTCGGCACAAAAAAGGTTGTTACAATCGCGTTGCGGGTGCTTTGTCTCGCCACCCTGAGTACATGAAGTGTCTTGTGGGCTCCTATGATCTCCGTAAGAACTTGAAGGAGGAACTAGTTGAGCATACTGCCAAGGACCCAGAACTCAGTCCCATCCTTGAGCAGATCTAGGCTGACCGTAGCAGTCAGCCTGACTTCCATGAGTGTAAAGGTTTGCTCTTCCGACGTTACGGGAAATACGACCGCCAGTGTGTACCCAATCATGAGCCTATCCGTACTCACTTCTTGGACTTGACTCATGGCCGGAGTGGACACTTTTTGAAAAGCCATACGGAAGTTTGTTGCAAAAGATTGTATGGCCTAGGATGAAAGGAATGACACGAAAGTTTGTGGCTGAGTGTGAAGTCTTTCAACACATCAAACCGTCTCAGCTGAAGCCCTATGGGCTGCTGCATCCTCTTCCTATTCCTGATGGCCCGGATGAGTCTCTTTCCATCGACTTCACGGACATGGGGAAGACGAGTAGGAATGGATATTCGCAGGTAATGGTGATTGTTGACCGCTTTTCAAAATTTCTGAATTTGATCCCATTACCACCTCACGCCCCAACTGACCTTGTGATCAAAGAGTTTCACAAGAAGTACATTTTGCAGTGTGGACCCCCGAAAACACTTGTAAGTGACCGGGACACTAGGTTCATAA